CCTCCCTTCCCCTCCCCTCCCCTCCCCTCCCTTCCATTAAATTCCCTCCCCTCCCCTCCCCTCCCCTCCTTTGAACCAAACATACCCATAAGGAGAATGAAGAAAAACGAATAAAAAAATCAAAGTCGAGGCACGTAATAATTACGTTCTCCTTAAGACGAAATTGCGCCGTAAAATACCCACGGTTAACGACAAATGCCTCCAAGATACAACGATTTTCGACTTGTATATAGTGGTACTTCAAATTTACAAGTCTTAGGTGAACACTACTATTGTTTTGGAACTCTCAAAACTCAATGGAAAAATCATAGACTACAATATGCTATATGATCTTTGAAAAATAATGCAAGAGCTCTATAATTTTCATGTTGTTCAAGTTATGTATGATTTCATCTATGTGGGTATTTTTAGATGTAGGGAAACACCTTCAAGAGGTTTAAGTGTCAAAAGACACCATTTGGGACGTGTCCGAACGAGAACGAATGCATCTAGTGGCCAAAAGATAACTTATGGTCACCAAGGGTTGCGACCCTTGGATTTCCGGAGCCAGTTGCGCGCCCGTGCGCAGCGGGCTCGTATGAGCTCATACGGACTCGGAATCGAGTTCTCTTTTTTTCTACTTGTCTCCAATGAGCCCCTCTTCAATTCTAGCATACATAATGCATATTTATGGCTCGTTTAATTTGTCCAAACATTTATCAAAACATAATGTTTTACGAATCCAATAATTTGAGTTACTTAAACTTATTGTTTCAACTTTACATTTCCCATATATACAACTTAGAATTAATTTCTCATTCACCTTAAAATGGTTTTAGAATTTTATAAGTCTTCAATATATAAAAAATGGAACCGTAAATCGGTACAAAACCAATTTTTCTTACATGATTAACATGGATAATCAGAGGCATTCGTATTTCATAGTCAGGTAAAATTATTGTATTTTATATAATATATGAGTGGGTGAATAATTAAAAATATATAATAATTATTTTTTCTTACTTAGTTAAAAATATATAATAATTACTTTTGCTTATTGTATTAGTAGGATAGTTAGAAAAAAAAAAAAGATGAAAAAATAACATTATTGTAACTCAAAAAGAGTACACTGACATATCCACTAGATTAGGATTACGCACGAATCGAGCGGCTAGCTCGGCTCAAGCTTGAGTTTATATCTTGCATTGTCGAGTAGCTTGCAAGCGGCTCGAGATATATGTTAAATTATTAAAATACGTCTTTTATATATATATATATATATCATAATATTAGTATATGTACTTAATAGTAATTTTACAAAATTGCTTGAAAATTTTTGAATTTCACTCGAGCCGAACTTGAGCATTTTGAATTCGAGTCGAGATCGAGCTATTGTATTTTTTTATCGAGTCAAGCTCGAGCCGCATAAATCAAGCTCGACAAACTCAAACTCGGGCAACTAAAAAAAATCATGTTCAATAAAGACAATACTAGACTCGACTTAACTCGTTTGCAGCCCTACACTAGATATAACATAACAACCTATTTGCTAAAAAAAGGCGTTAACCGAAGGAGTCGGGAGTCATTCTCCCCTTCAACACGGGAACTGTCAGACATAGGAGGCAACTCAAAACAAACACACACACAAAACTACTACTAAAAAGACGAAAAATTACGAACTACTAAGCGCCATAAATATATAGAAATTGAAATCAACTGTGCTATTCAAAATCAACACACGGCCGAGGCGGCTGCCTAGACGGTGCTCGGGTGCCTCCGATTTGCACAAATCGGCAAAAAAAATCAGTCAGGCGGGTTTAGGTGCTGACCGCGCGTCGCAACGCAGCAAAATTATAATTTATTTTTTCCTCCACTAACCTCTACTAACTACTAGTAGTGGCGAACAAGGGTCGATCCCACAAGAAGTGTGTATCAAATTGTGGCTTTTTCGTATTAATTGAAATTAAGAAAACAATAAAATAGGGGAGAATTTTGAATTAATAACTAAACTAACTAAAATCCTAATGAAACAAATAAATCTGAACTAGAAAATAAAAATAAAATAGAATGAATAAAGAGAAATTTATAGTTCACGGTTCCGTCTACACCATTGACTGACCCATCTAATCAACTTTGGTATCAAATCTCACTATCTTATGAAATTACTATCCCCAGGTAACGACACGGTCCGTTACCCGAATTTTTCTTTATTTTTAATTTAATCGCGAGACGCTCTACGATTAAACATGACTTCTTGTCCAGTCCAGAAAAACGTTTTCAAAATTTAATACAATTAGCCACTTTAATTGTTAGAAAAATAGGCTAGACTAAGTAGTGACGCGTTCATTCACTTAAATAGGCCGTGTTATTCCTTGTAGTAACCGTCTTCCGGTAGCCTCTTATGAATTAAACACAACAACAATTACGGATTAAATGTCTAATTCAGCTGTAGATATGAAAAACCTAATCTAGGTGATCAATCTAAATAAGACTCAACACATCATGGTTAATTATTCAAAATAATACAAACAATTCCAAAAAGATAGTAAAATCACCAACTACAAAAATTAATCAAACATCGTCAATCATAGGGTTCGACTTCCCCGGAACTAGAATAAAAATCTAGTCTAACATAATAAATAATAAAAGAAAAAGAATAAAATTATCCCCTTTCGTGTGTGTGGTCTCCCTCCACTTTTGATCGGGTTCCTCGCGTTGCTCTGTCCGTCGTGACTTTCTTCTATTCTTTCCTGTTCAATTTCGAGAAAATTACTCCTCTCACGGCTGATTTACTAAATAATATTAATATTACGTTACGGACATCTTTTCATCACAAGTACGAACTATATATTTAATTAATGAAAGGTGTAAATAAGGAAGGTTTTTTTTTTTCGTTCTCTGCACCAATTTTTAAAAGTTAAACCACCCACTACACACAATTAATGGTGGTTATTTTAGTGCATGACAATCGAGAGAGTGATATTCTTTCTCCTTCCACACACATCACTAAATCAATAAAAAAATATTGCTTTTCTCTTCTAACACACTCGGCTGTCGTGTGACATCTTCACAACAAGCATTGAAAGAACTTATCTTTCCTAAACACAAAAGAAAACCACTAGACTCCATAAATTTTCAATGACCAAGAGAAGAAAAAATTAGGCCAAATCCGTCAACAGTGAATATGAAACACAATTAACACGCTCCTGATCTCGTTGAACATCTCAATTTCAAGCATTCAAACGTAAGGTCATTTGAAAGAAACTCCAATTTCAGAAAATTCCAGATCCGAGAGGTTTCAAGAA